TGACTGTAAAGGAATTTTTGTAATATTTGCTTTTAAACGCGTGTGGTACAACGTTGTAGAACATATAAAATATTTTCTTCCCTCAGCCCTTTATTTCTTTCCCTTCTACTTTACTGTCTGCCATTATCTTAATATTCTGCTCTTTCCAGTGAAAGAGGTATATGTCATGTATGGACATGACTGTTCAAAGAGGCCATCTAATTCTTACCCGGTTTTAAAAATATAAAAAAAATTAACAAGTTCTCAATTTTTTTATCTCACGAAGTAATGAAATAATCGTTAGCTGCATTTCTCCTTACTTATTACATATTATATATTATACAGTATTATATGTTACATGACTTTTACATATAATATTATCAGTCTTCTGTTGTGAATTTATTAGTATTTTTATTTCTAGTTCTAAGATACTGCTACGGTTGACTATGGCGTCAAGAGTAGGAGTCATAGTCATCGCGTAAAGCACAGCCAAATAAATAACAAACATTCTTATCTAAATGCGTTTGTTTACATTGATTATTATTGCCACTGAATACATTTAAACTCGGTTTGATTTAAACAACTGGCCCTTGCGGATGGTATAAACTGACCGAGAGTTTCTACACTGTCGTTCTCAATAATTCTGTTACACTCTACAATTCTCTCCAGTTGATGGACGTGAATATTAACAGATTACAGTATTGATACTACTATATTATAATAATGAATTCATTACATTTAAAGCATAGATTATATACTAAAAATCGCAGAGTATTTTTGCCTTCTGTTTTAACGCTTTCATAATAAAGTTGTTTTTAAAATGCGATCGTGTTCAATAGACAATAACACTAATGGGATGTCCATTACTGTTTTTATGTTAAAAGGAAACGCAGTTGCATTACAAAAGGGACATAAATACGTCCGCGCAGCGTACAGTGGTTATTTATATGGCGTGCTCTCGTATTCCGTCGAGGTCGGCTGCGTCAAGCTAAAATAACCTTATTGTTACTTTGTAACGATAATGGGGATTATTGATTATGATATAAGAGAATAATGATTACGCTATCTCCTACCCTCCCTAACCGAAACGTGGTGAGTGGTGGAGCTAATGACCAGGTCTACTGTTGGAGGCTTTCTGTTTGTAAGCTCTGGTTCTCTTAGTTGACGCGGCCTCTAGGCAGTGAACTCGGGGAGTCCTTAATGAAGTCATTATAAACTTGCTGTTTAGAGGAAGGTGAAGTAATGTTTTTGATGGTTATAATCTTTGGCGTTTTTGGTAAAGTCTTACGTATTAACTATCTAATTAACAAAAAATAATAATCTTATTGCCTAGCTAAACATTTCCGAATCATCTTGTTAATAATTTGCAGGAAATATTTTCTGCCGCTCCATTCATTTTTCTTTATTCAGCTGCGTCTCACTGGAGTTATGTCAAGTTAATTCTTCTCGTGTTACTTATATTTATGCTGTAAGTTATTGTCTTAGTACTTTATTTCAGTTGCGGTTAATATAATTTTAATTCAGACGCGCGCAACTTATTTTTTCTACATTTTACTACAAAATTTTATTCATTCTAGTCTACCACATTAATAATATTTTAAACATGCTATAATTGAATAAACAAATTTTATCGTATGATGTTAGCTTCAGAAATCAGATTAAAATTATTTTTAAATTCTTGAATTTACTCCAGTTACCATCTACGTTTAACAATATAGCATGCGATCATACATATGCGCGGATATTTAATATTTTACAATAAGTCCACTAGAAGGCCAACAATGGTCGATATTATTTATCTTACTTCGACTGATGTTTTCGCTGTCGGTTCGTACTTCATAAAATATTCTTCAAACTCGTGGGATAGCCAGATCCCATGAGTTGAATAAAGCCGCTCCAGTTCTTATGCATGCCTTATGTAGTGGGAAGGAACGTCAACTCTGGGCCATCGAGACTTGGCATGGCCTGGACCCCAATGGCCGTCGACAGTATCAAAACGGAGAGCCCTAGAGGTCTGCTTCACGTTGTGTTCGCGTATTGGTTTCGCCACACTCGTAGGTGAAGATGAATTATTTGGTCCTGTATGTTAGTACATACTATGTGTGGATGTAGATTTGTCGGTCGGGATCCCTGGCGGATCGAGAAGTACTTATTACACATTCCCCGACCACATTAATAATATTTTAAATATGCTATAATTGAATAAACAAATTTTATCGTATGATGTTTGCTTCAGAAATCAGATTAAAATTATTTTTAAATTCTTGAATTTACTCCAGTTACCATCTACGTTTAACAATATAGCATGCGATCATACATATGCGCGGATATTTAATATTTTACAATAAGTCCACTAGAAGGCCAACAATGGTCGATATTATTTATCTTACTTCGACTGATGTTTTCGCTGTCGGTTCGTACTTCATAAAATATTCTTCAAACTCGTGGGATAGCCAGATCCCATGAGTTGAATAAAGCCGCTCCAGTTCTTATGCATGCCTTATGTAGTGGGAAGGAACGTCAACTCTGGGCCATCGAGACTTGGCATGGCCTGGACCCCAATGGCCGTCGACAGTATCAAAACGGAGAGCCCTAGAGGTCTGCTTCACGTTGTGCTCGCGTATTGGTTTCGCCACACTCGTAGGTGAAGATGAATTATTTGGTCCTGTATGTTAGTACATACTATGTGTGGATGTAGATTTGTCGGTCGGGATCCCTGGCGGATCGAGAAGTACTTATTACACATTCCCCGACCACATTAATAATATTTTAAATATGCTATAATTGAATAAACAAATTTTATCGTATGATGTTTGCTTCAGAAATCAGATTAAAATTATCTTTAAATTCTTGAATTTACTCCAGTTACCATCTACGTTTAACAATATAGCATGCGATCATACATATGCGCGGATATTTAATATTTTACAATAAGTCCACTAGAAGGCCAACAATGGTCGATATTATTTATCTTACTTCGACTGATGTTTTCGCTGTCGGTTCGTACTTCATAAAATATTCTTCAAACTCGTGGGATAGCCAGATTCCATGAGTTGAATAAAGCCGCTCCAGTTCTTATGCATGCCTTATGTAGTGGGAAGGAACGTCAACTCTGGCCCATCGAGACTTGGCATGGCCTGGACCGCAATGGCCGTCGACAGTATCAAAACGGTTTCACGTTGTGTTCGCGTATTGGTTTCGCCACACTCGTAGGTGAAGATGAATTATTTGGTCCTGTATGTTAGTACATACTATGTGTGGATGTAGATTTGTCGGTCGGGATCCCTGGCGGATCGAGAAGTACTTATTACACATTCCCCGACCAGGTATATGAGGACGTTGCGCGATTGAAGAATACGGTCGTCTTTATGTGAGCCTAATGATTTATTGCTTCTATTATCAGAGGGTTTGAATGGTTCTATCTAGCAACTATAGCGATTTATAAACTTACTGAATGCACTGAGCTTTGTAGATGCGTTAGGGATAGAGGCAGGCCAAGGGCATGCAACGGTATGATATTAGGTCTTATATTTATATAATAAACGCTTTGGGTTGTAGTGTCGGCCGGATACAAAAGCGGCAGTACTCCTAACGTTTTTGATGTAAGTTTTCTGGAGTTGAAAGAAACCAAAAGGTAATTGATCTTCTTTTCTAAAGGATCGATTAGATATTTTTTTATTTACCTGGAGGAAATGGCTACACGTATCCAAAATGTATTTCTTTGTGTGGATCCTTAAGCGTATAGTTCATATAGAGTAAAAGAGCACGGGGCAAAAGCACGATCCTTGAGACACTACCGTTCGAATCCATTTTAAAGAACTTTAATAGTTGGTAAGGTTTTGTGTTATAGATGTCCATGGGCGGTAATAACTTTTCATATAAAAAAAGCATATTACTCTCATCTCCTTTTGAAAATAAAATCGATTGGACGGGAAAGATGTATAAATAAATATCCTTTCAATGCGCTACGTTCAGAAGTTACATAAATGACTACTACTACTATTATTTTACTAATAAAAATACTGCACAACAGAATATGAACGTACTGTTGCCACTAATTTCACGTATTTTAAACACCACTACGTCGCTACGGAGTACATTAACATTACTCATAACAAGATACCTCAAGAGAAATGCAATCAAGGATTAGTGTCGTGAATGCAATTACTACATCCCAACTATTAACTAGGAATGAACTAAGCACTTTGGAATATAACATCGTCATTTATGTTTTCTGCACTGGGGAACTATATATTGCGTTGTGGGAAATAACTTCAATGGTCGTCACAAACAGGTGCATGCATTTAATGATCAGATAGAGTTTCATGAATGATTTTCGAAAATGGTAACTTTTCCATGAATACGTTTTGGGCATATTAATTTGATTGTTAGAAGATATGTGTGCCATAGTTTCACTTCGCCGGGCTCCATGACGCTTTAAAAAGATTTGCACCTTATTAAATTGACCTATGCCGATTTACTTAGTGTTTTAATTCAAGTTTTGAGTTTTTTGCCCTCTAATTCTGAACGTTTTCTATAAATTTTCATACTCAATTACAGTTTTCTCGTATTAAGTAAGTTATTATTTTTAAATTATAAGATTAGACCTGCTAAGAATAAAAGTAGGCCACGCGGTAAATACGGAATATTCTGGAGGCTTCCTGGCCGAATGGACGAGTATTAGGCAAAAATATTCTTAAGTCGGCAAGTGATGGGTTTTGAATTAACCTGATTGTTTCTAGTTTGTTTACGTTAGCATGTACCATAAATTATTAAGCATAATTTATTGTACTCTTTTCATTAGGATTTGTTTAAGTTTTTTTTAAGGGAAAATTGTCTAAAAAATCACCTACATGTACTTCGAGGTTGCCGAAACGATCCAAAAGAAAAGTAGTAAACAACTGGTTAAAACTGTGAAAAATCAGTAGTTTTATATATATTATATTTAATACTTCAAATATTTATTTGCATATTTTTAATAAAACATTTTTTAATGCCGTATTTGGATTCGGATGTTGTTAGTCCACTGCTGTTACGGTGGGCACGGTGGTTCTATTATGGTTTCTAACATGGATGTTGTGGCTGCACAGCTGGTATGTCGTTATCACCGCGTTGCCGAGATAGCGGCCGGTGGGGTCCTGCCGAACCACGTGCATGTATTCGTCGCCCAGTGTGAACTGCACTTGCGGCGGGGCGGCCCAGTCGCATACTATGGTCACGGCCTTGTTCACCTCGGCTGGGTTTAGGCAAAACATCTGGAAACACACACACAGCTTGCACTTTGACGATTGTCTAACATAAGGTGGGCCATCAGCTTGGGATCCTGTCATAAATAAAATTAAACATAGGCCCAAACAAACCATTAGCTACTGCAAAAATACTTTGAAATTAGCTCCTTCTGCATAGATCGGACACAAAATTAATAATTAAAAACTGACGGTAGCGTGCGTTAACATTGACATTCATACGTCCAACGCTTTAGTCTGTCACGTGACCATGAACTATGTAAAGGGTACGAAACGTCGGGAACTTAAGTTAAAAATAAACGCGGTAAATCCGTAAAAATAGTTTAGTTTATAAGGTTCGCCAACTTGTCCACAACTTCCATGACAATGAAACCTGTCAGCTATTCTATAAGGAAATATGGAAGTTTTGTTAGCGGTATCTTAGACATCGTCGCTAATACTCCAAGCGCCTAGCCACCAAGAGGTTGTAGTTTTATCTACAGCTCTCCAAAATATAAATGTTTCCATTTCTAATAGACAAGTCTTTCGTGTTACTCGCACTTTGAACCGATTTGTAAAAGGAAGAGAATTTTGATTCGGTTGAATTTTTTATGTTTTTTTTTGTCTCAGAACTCCGTCATTTACGAATCGATTTTAAATTTAGACCCATCCGGGAACTCCACAAAACCGAATAGAAAATGTCAAATCACTCACTATAGAGAGTATAGAGTATATTTCAAATCGGTTTTATCTTTTGTTAATTAAAAAGTTTATTTATTCCTAATGCTTAATAATTTTTAACAAAAAAATCCGACTTCAATCAGAAAATTAAAAACATTATTAATACTTATAACATTCGAATTCTCTGGGATGCCATCATCAGATCCGGGTTTCCTTATCATGGTACCACCTTTGGGATATCTCCTTTCCGACAATAAAAGAATCATCAAAATCCGTTCATAAACGACGAAGTTATCCACGAACACACATAAAAAATATATATACGGTTGAATTGAGAAACCTCCTCCTTTTTTGAAGTCGGTTAAAAATATTTACTGGGGCGGACTTAGTGCCCTCAGAATTATCTAGTCAAAAAATAAAGATAAAGAAACTGCCAGTTTAAAGTGAATACAAAATATTTTATCAATTTTAATCATATAGGATCTTTTTTCTACCGAGTTGAACCTTACTCTCGACTAGTATATTGTTCAGATTATATGTTGATATGTTGTTCATATTATTAATTTATGCAATATTAATTGTTTACTGTCGGAAAAAAGATTAAAAATATGTTTTACTTGTTGATACGCCTCCCGTTGCCCTTGCACGATGTAAACGACAGGATAATCCATTTTAAAGCGGGAAACATAGTCTGTATCTGAAAAAAGTGATTTATTATGCAGAAGCTGATAGTTTTAGGAATTAATGATGACAATATAGTTTATTGTCATGATTGTAGGATAATTTTTAATGTGAAATGATGTCAAGCGACCAGACGATTCATCTGATGTTAAGTGATTACCTATGGACATCTAAAACACCTGAGGGATTGCAGAATTGTTGACAATCCTTTAAAAGTGGGCCCAGGTTACATCACTCACCAGACGTAACGCGAAGGTGTTGGACATCCACTTCACGCCTGTCTTCTGAGATTCCGTGGTACTTCTCCGAACTAGCCTACCCATTTGTGCAACAGCGAAGGCAATACAAGATGGGCTGCAGAGTTGCCAATCATTAAACAAGTTTGATCCGGTTACGTAATTTCATTAAGTTTCAGCTTTTGTACAGAGACCAGTACTATAATCCAAAATAAAAAAAAAGTACTGATACCTTGCTATCGCACATTCATAAAATTACAGAAGCAATGTGAGGAAAAGAGCGTAATTATTTGGACTTTACAATGATAGCAATTTACCTTTAGTTACTTGGGTACAGTGCGGAGGCGAGGCTTTTTTCAATTTTCCTTCCAGGCTCAAAATGCATAATGCCAATATAAAGAGAAAATGCAACAAACTGCTCATGATTGTGTTTCTTAAGTTAATATTGTAAAGTACGAAATAATTGTCACTTTTAATAAATTCACTGTTATCGTTTGTTATGCCAACACTTCAAACGTATATTAACGACTGATCTAATTTTAAAACTGTCAGTAAACGTTTTAAAGTAAACACTTTTCATTGAGGACGTTTAAACAACGACATATCCAACTGATTGTAAATCACCAGTGTCAATATTGTTTTGAGTAGCAGGAAATTTATTGGATTTATTACTTCAAACGGTTATCAACTATGTTTATACTTAATTATGGCCGGACGACAATAATGTTCCCATATCTTAACAAGATACTGTTATCAACTGCGCTTAACAAGATGTTCAAGCAAATTTTATAGAGTTTTTGTAATTAGTTTACAAAATTAAGTCTGTCCTCTCTTTAGAAGACTGAAGATCAAATAGTTTATGTTAGTTAGGTTAATTATTTTGGTTAAAAGCAACCGTCATCAACTCAGCAACCGTCATCAAACATCGAGCAACTCTATGTCGCTGCGCAAATTTCATCATATGTAAAGCAGCAAAAAATAAAATAAAATAAAAATATCAACCATGAGTATTTCATGATATTTCAAATGAATTTTACTATCGTTCCTAATCTGGACGATTGTTTGCAAGCATTGGTATGCCAGATAAAAAGTGACAAACGATTTCAGCAACCAAACATTTGTAAAACTAGCAGTGACGCAGGCGTTGCCGACCTTTCAAAGCCTCGACAAAACGCAATAGTAGGACATATTTCATATCTTCTGCGAGGTTGCGTACTTTCTCCAGTTGCATTAGTCTGTCCACGCAACAGTTGAAGCAACTTCGTGACGTTGCCATAGGTAATATTCTCGTTAGGGTTAGGTTAAAATTAAATGAATTAAATAGAAATTTTAAAAAGTTCATTTCAACGAGTTTGATTTTTTACCAAGTTTTGAAACTTGAACCACCATCAGCATAATTTCGCTAGTATTATAAATGTGAAAGTTTGTGTCTTTAAAGGTTTGGTGCTTATAATGTGAAGTTTTACACAAAAACTTTCGAGAAATGTTATGCTGCGAGATTTGTACCTGCGTCTTCCACGTAACGAACCCAGAAGCTCAAACGACTGAGCTTAGCGGCCGATGTTTTCATGTTACCAAAATCTTAACATTTATCTACTTTTCTTTAGTACAGTTTTAGCCGTGTAAGCGCATCTCGTATGCATGCACTTTACAGAATCCCCGCATTCCAAATGACATTTCTAACATGAATACTTGAACGAGAGCTTTTTTAAATTTCATCTTTAGTGCAGAGACTAGCACGAAAACAAAATGAATCATTTAAGGTTTTGTGATTTTTCATTCCGTTTCAGCTTAAAAGATATGAAAGTTAATTGGAATGGAATTACCGTATATGCTGCGTTTCAATACAAGATCCTTTTACCTTAATAATTAATCTTATTTGGAATTAATTAATTTAAATTAATTAATTCCAAAATTGATCACTAATTATGCATAACAGTTACTGATGTTACTGTGGTGGCCCTTTTGAAATGGTGTAGTGCTTCTGATTACATTTTAACTTCTCTTTCCTTACCTTCAATGAAAGATAATTGCAGTAACTATTGTCATATTATCCCCAGTTTATTCACGCAATAGCTGTTGTAGCATAAGATTTGGCACATGTCAAGTCAATGTCAACGTTTCAAATGGCGTAGTGTTACAAAAGAAAAGTATGTTTAAGTATGTTTATCAGTGATCTAGTACCCGTAGTACGAGCGTTGCTTAGTTTGGGACCAGAGAGCATTGTCTAAAAATGTGACAAAAAAAATATCAAAAAAAGTTTTGTGAAGAGGAAACAAAAATTTCTATAATAAAAATGAAATTGCAAAGTAAGTTCATACAGTATTACGAAAAGTGTCTAAAATATGAAACTACTTAAACAAATATGGATTTTTAAAGTACATTCATCGTAACGTTGTACTTAATGCATCACAGTAATGCATCACAGTAATGAAGGACTACGGTATGTGCAACTAAACTTAGCAAGCCAAAAGAAAGAAAGAAAGAAAAATATTTATTTGGTACATAAACAAAAAAATACATAAAACACATAAACACAGTAATTTAGTTATCCCGTTAGGCATCCCGTTCAGGATACCAGAACTGTTGGATTCATCAAAGTCTTTTGTATATAATATGCATCTATAACACCGAACGAAATAATTACTTTCCACTTTTGCAATTTCTTTGAACTAGTTTTTGTTTTTCGCCAAGAAATTTTATTCAGAAGCCAGTGTCCATTATCGAATATCAATTATCATACATTTTCTAGACAGTGCAGTTTACTTATTCTAGAAAATACCGCGTTAAACGGTTTGCCATGCTCCAACACGCTAACTTGTAACGTCTAATACGTTAAGGTAAGGCATACAATGTCGGAAGTAAAACGATGGGCGTAAGACATACTGAACTTATTCCATATTCATTAGAACACCTTAGAAGTTTTTTTGTTCATATAAATTTAGGAAGTTTCCTTAATATGATTTATGTTTTCAAATATTGCATGGTTTTACGAATCGCTTATTTCATGTTTCATAAATAAAAGAGATTATCGATAAAAATCATGTTTGAGAATATTATACAATTTACTTAGCGACCCGCCCCGGCTTCGCACGGGTGCAATGCTGAATGGTTTTCGACATCGCATTAGAAACTTCTAAAATTATCAGTGTTTTTTTTTTACTATAAAATGCATAAATTATACATAATATAAACTTTCCTCTTGAATCACTCTATCTATTAAAGAAAACCGCATAAAAATTCGTTGCGTAGTTTTAAAGATCTAAGTATATATAGGGACAGACAGACAGCGGTATGACTTTGTTTTATACTATGTAGTGATTGAAAAAAATACCCATAGGTTTACGCGTGAATTACGCGCAGTTTGCTATAGGTAAGTAAGCGGTCTTACGTGAGAGGCTCAACAATACATTGTTTCTTTAAAAAAATCTTTTTAGGATTAGATATGTATCGTGTATTGTATTTTACAAATGTGACCTGAACCTGGAAATACTACTACCTGGAGGTCATAAAAAAGTTCTGTTTTATCCGTCTATTTGATGAAAAAAATTTATTTGGATGACGATGAAGTATATATAAATGTAGTTTCTTATTAACAAAATATCTCGAAAAGATAGCATTCACTAGTAAATTAGTTACAACATATAAAACTGACATTATTGACTGATTTCATTCTTCACAATCGTGTGTCATATTAAATTTAGTATGAAGTAATATATGCCTAGAAACTGTCAATTGACCAACAAAGCGAGGGTTGGGGCAATTCATACTTTTAGGCGAAGCTCCAATTGCTTCGTAACAGAAATAACCCCGAGAATGATCAAATATCTCTATCTAAATAAGCTATTGCTATGATTATTGTTGTAAAAAAAGGCAGGCCTCGTGTGTGTTCTATAAATCTATTTGGATTGACAGGAAATAATTGGAAAATTTTAGAAAATCGGCGAATGCTTACAGAGCTATCGCTAAAGAAACAAATCAAGCAATTCGCACTTTTAGAATTATAGTGACTTATTTAAAAATAAAAATTTTTGGGAAACGTAAAATAAGGATTTATGGAACTTATGAACAAACGCGCTAATTGGGGGGAAGTGAAAGAGACAGAACTATACGTTATGTAGTTTTCTAAAATCGGCCCATGTTTTAATAGAATTCGACAAAGGTGGTCGTTTTAGGTCGTTTCCTGACATAAAGCCAAGGTCATGATTTTCATAATTAGGTCCCTTTAATTCTAAAGGTGCGAATTACTTTTGCTTTACCGAATAAAAAGGGGCCGTCATTAATCAAGTGAGGTTTTTTTAGCATTTTTTCACCCCCTCCTCCCCTTTCGTGATACGTGGTGATGTTTAAGAGTCCCTACCACCTAATTTTTGGAATTGATGTGTTTTTGCAAGGGTGAAAACCCTGGAAAAGGCACACCAATCCAGTTCTAAAATTATTAAAACTTCCGTGAGACGTTATTAACAAAGTGATAAAACGGCTGAACGCCAGTCTACGAATGTGCGACTAGTTTCGGACCTATAAGGGGCCCTCTGGTCTTTAGTTCTGTTTTTGCCGTTAGTGCTTGAAAATTGCACCGTTACGGCGACAAAAGTACTTACCGCGCAAACGCCTTTACTGCGGACCTAGCACTCGTATATTGCACGGAATTGCTCGTATGGGACGCCACTGTAACAATGGATTAAAGCATTGCATTATGACTTTACTATTTCAACGCTACTGGTCTCAGTGGTACTATGAAGTCCACTTAATTCTTTTCAATTTCAAAGGGCGGTGCGGGAAAATTCACATTTCATTGTGCAGCGTTTAAATCAATAGGAATTATAATGTGTGTAAGTGAATTATTCTGCAGATTTATGTTTTTTTTAAATTGTAGAATGAATATGTCGGATATATTGTGGATTCTTGAATTTTACTCGTGCACTCTTCTCTTTTAGATCAAAAGACATCGTATGCACGAAGTGCCTAAATCTTACCGAAAGTATTCGAAAATTAATGTAAGCTTAGTTTAGATGTTACAACGACAAATATTTCAGCTGATCTTAGAAAAATTCAGTAGTATACTACAGTATTTAGTATGCTGGATACGAACAGACGAGAAATGATTGTCAACTGCCTGGACTATTCGATTCGTGTGCTTGTTTTGTTTTGTAAATAAATAAATATCTAATAAATCCACTGTGGCAGGGCCACGCAACAGTGTTCGCTGTTGCACGAATAGGCAGGTCCGTCCAGGTAAGTACCACGACCTCACAAAAGACCGGCGTAAAGTAGAAGTTTTACGCTTCCACGTTTCGTCTGGTGAGTGAGGTAGCCGGGGCCCACTTTATTTGAAGGTGGCAACGCATTTGTAACCCTTCGGGTGTTGCAAAAGTCCATGGGTGCCGGTCATCACTTAACATAAGGTGAACCGCCAGCTCGTT